TAAAATAAAACTAAAATGCAAACATATTCACATTCTCTCTCTCTCTCATTTTTCACAAAACAGACTCCCAATCTTTGGCCTAAAACCTAAGCTCAAGCTTATATACATAATTTTTAAGTCCTAAGCCTTTTATCCTAGGAAAAATAAAGTCAGTACAATGGACAGATCTTCATTTTTCTAGAGGAAGCCACTGTACTGTAAAGTCTGTGACCTCAAAGGTCACTGGATCCTAAACCATCACAAACATCCTGGAATCAGGCAGTTGCCATCTCCATCAGTGTGCACTTGAGAAAGAGGAAGGGAGACCCAAAGCCTAGATAGGTTTCATGTTCTCCCCCCATCAACCCTAGGGCTTGATGGTCCTCAAGCCCCTTCTCCTCTCTACCTGGACATATTCATAGTGACCTCATCCAATTATGTAGCTTTAAGAGCATCTCTCTCTCTCCTAACGATGTATCTCACCACAACTAGATTGTGGCCTCTTCTGGTCTTATTTTTTCGCTACTGATAGGATTAGCAATAGTTCTGAGCACATTACAGACAATAAATGCTAGAAATGCATCACTCCTCCAGTGACAGCACAAATTCTCAGAATCACATGTCAGCTCCCTGTCTATTATAGCAAAATGAGGGCACACAATTAGCATGGATGATTGGATTGAATTAGTAAATACGGGGATGATGGTATCATTCTCTTATGTAAATGAAAGGCCCTAAGATCTGAGGAAATCTAACTTGGACTCAGTCCCTAAGCAGGTTCTGTTGGAATAAAAAGCTCTGTTTCACTAGAAGGAAACACATCTACCTGGTAGGGAGAAGCATGTGCTTTTATAAAAGAATAAATTTCCTACTCACTTGAAAATAATTTGTCAGACATCCAGTCACAGTCCTTTTCCCTTCTGACTTCTCTTCATAAAGACAGAAAAAGTCTTGGGAAAGACAGCCTTGAGGAGAAGAAACAAAACCTGAGAATTCAGGCTGCCCAGTTCCCATATTCACAAGCCTGGAAACATCCCATACTAATTCTAAGTAAACACATACACACTGCTGCCATAAAATGCCCTACAGTCCACCTCACCTGAAATTAGAAATGGATTTTGATAAAAAGAAAAAAAGTTTAACAATCTAATTTCATTTTACAGATAAAGAAATTAAAGTCTAGACAGGTAAAATTATTGGTTTTTTTTTTTTGCTAACAGTGATAACTCATGTAATTAAGCAGAACTTCTCCCACAAAAATGGGCAGACTTACCCCTTTCTCCCCAAGTCCCAGGATTTAGACAACAGGATATTGTTATATACTTAAGGACCCTCCTAGACAGCCCAGAAGCAGGACTATGTAGACCCAGACCACAAAGACATTCTGCTCACAAGCCAGTGAAGTACTGTCTCTGAAAGGAGCATCAGCAAGCACTTGCCAGAAAAGATCAATGGCTGGCATCTGTGATCTGATAGTGAAATCTGCCTTATACATCTTATTCCTGAAGTCTCTTCAAGACAGTTCAATTCCTCTTAAGTAGTAGTGGGAGTCTTACCTCATGCCATCAATCTTTAAGCAGGAGGCATTACTGATTTGTCATCAAGCATCATTCATTAGCCATCTCTCTGCAGAAGACGGCAGTTACATATTATGTGAAAGTCATTAGAAACTGTAGATGGTATGAATATAAATAATTGCCATTTACTGAGTACCCATTATGTGCTAAAAACATTGAAAGCTCATATGATTATCAAATTATTATTACTGTCATTCAATAGTTGAGGCAATTCATGTACAAACAGCAGTGGTAATTAGTCCAAGATCACCACTTAGGAAGTGGTGAGCCAGAGCCTGAATCCAGGTTACTCTGTCTCAAAAGCCTGAACTCCTGAGATTATTGTTATTCTCCAATATGACTGGACAGTGATCACGAAATAGTGTGCAGGAAATGATTAACTTAGCAGGTCTGGGTTGCCCCAAATTTTTACTAGGAATATGAGTATGAACCTATGATGTAAGAAAAGATATATTTTAACTGTGTTTTTGAGGAATAATAATATGAGAGTATGTTCACAATATAATTTATATGAAAAGGAGGATATAAAATTATAGATATTAAAAAAAAAACTTATTTATTTATATTTTTGGCCACTTTGTGTGGCATGTGGGATCTTAGTTCCCCAACCAGGGATTGAACTTGTGCCCCCTGCAGTGGAAGCACAGAGTCTTAAGCACTGGACCGCCAGAAAAGTCATGAAAATATCTATTTTAGATATTCACTGAAAGGCCTAGACACAATTAAACCCCAGGAGCACTGAGTCCATGTCTCATACAGACCTTGGTGTCTACAAGGAAACAGGCTTCTTGGAGAAATCATTGATTATGGTCTGTAACAGTCAAGTTTGAGGCTTCTCTGGTGCCTCAGCAGTAAAGAATCTGCCTGCAATGCAGGAGACCTGGGTTTGATCCTTGGGTTGGGAAGATCCCCCGGAGGAGGGCATGGCAACCCACTCCAGTACTCTTGCCTGGAGAATTCCACGGACAGAGGAGCCTGGCAGGCTACAACTCATAGGGTCACATAGAGTTGGATATGACTGAAGTGACTAAGCAGCAACAGCAGCAACAGTCAAGTTCAAAGTGAACTGGGAATTTATGCTCAAAGATTTATAGGGATGTGTTGAAGGGACACATGAATCAAATTAAAAGGACTACTCTTGGCCAAGTTTGGGAGAGTCTGAGCATCAAATGACAGCAACTGTTTATAATATGATAAATGAAAGACAAATAGGGGAATATGTCATGAAACCCCAAAAGGGAAAAAAATAGAGAAGACAGGGGAAGTAGGGAGAGAAAGCTCTTGTTCACAAAAGACTGACAGCAAGAGAATGGAAAAATTTGGAAAAAAAGAAAAAGAATTAGGAAAAACAACAACAGCAAAAGCACTTTTCAAGACCCCAATGTAAAAATAGGGAGAAGTGAAGATCAACAAGCGATGCTAAAACCACTGGGTGAAAGGGTTGGGCAACAAAGTATTCCCCTGTTGCCAAGTATCACCCACAGATTGTTGTTGTTAAGTTGCTGAGTCATGTCCAACTCTTTTGTGACCCCACAGATTAGCCCGTCAGGCTCTTCTGTTCATGGGATTTCCCAGACAAGAATCCTGGAGTGGGTTGTCATTTCCTTCTCCAGGTGATCTTCCTGACAAAGGGATCAAACCAGCATTCCTGCACTGTGGACAGATTCTTTACCACCGAGCCACCTGGGAAGCCTATTACCTACAGATTACCACAAAGAAAAATGTGACTGTGCAAGAGAGATGGGTACCTTAACTAAACACTTTGCATTCCTAATACACGGTGGACGATTTGAATTTATGTGCCCCCTGATGTGACATAACATGAAGTACACATCACCTAGGAAATTTTCAAGTCTCTTAAATCTGCAGTCTAACACAGTAGTCATTGTCTGCTCTGTGTGGCTACCGTGAATATGAAATGTGGCTAGTGAGACTGAGGGCCTGAATTTGCCATTTTACTCACTTTTAATTAAGTTTTAGAAATAAAACTGTTCAGTTACTCAAAAAATCTTTCAGTATGTTTGAAGCAATCTGGGTTTCCCCACATACTTTTTCAACAGTCAATTTTCTGAAAGCTAAAGATCAAGAATTTCTAATAAAAATTTAGCATCCATACTGAGGTGAGCTTAGGTGTAAAATACATATCAGAGTCCAACAACTTGGTACAAAAGAAAAGTAAAATTTCTCACTAATAACTTTGTATTAGCCACATTGGTCATTAATTCACCAATAGTTATATACTAATAACTGGGTAAATTAGGTTAGATGTGACATATTATTAAAAATAACTTCACATATATATTTTCTCCTAATTGACTACTAAAAAATTTTAAATCACATTACATTTGTATTAGATACTACTGGCTCTACCAGGGTGATTCAGTGGTAAAGAACCTGACAGCAAAGGCAGGTGACCTGGGTTTGACCCCTGGGTCAAGAAGATCCCCTGGAGGGAATGGCAACCCACTCCAATAGTCTCGCCTGGGAAGTCCCATGGACAGGGGAGCCTGGTGGGCTACAGTCCATGAGGTCGCAAAAGACACAGATACCACGGAGCACACACCCTAGACTCAATGTCCACTTTATGAGATACCACCGAGTTAATTACATGAAATTGGAGGAAAACATCACCATATGGGAATGCCAACATTTTTCAATATAAATCTTCTGGACTGCAGGAAACCAAAAATACTGGCAAATGTTTTAGGTAAAACAAATGTAAAACTTAAATGCAATATGCAAATCTTATTTGAATCCCAGCTTCCCCCCAAACCCGACAACTATAAAATATACTTTTGGAAAACTGGACAAATTTTGATTTTCTTGGATGGTCAGTGGAGTTTTGCTTTTAGTAGGAAACTGTCCTCATTCTTAGAAGTCAATGTCTGCAATTTACCATTAAATGGTTCATCATTATATATATACATATATATAAAATGACAGACAAAATCTTAAATTAGTGAACCTAGATTAAGGGTTCATGGATATTCCTTTTATTGACCACAAATTTTCTTAAGATAAAAACTTCAAGATGAGGGAATTTCTTGGTGGTCCAGTGGTTAGGACACTGCACTGTCAATCCCGTGGGTCAGGGTTCAACTCCTGGTGGGGGAACTAAGATCCCTCCAGCCCGTGCAGCACGGGCGAAAGAAAAAAAAAAAAGAGAGAGAGAGATTCTAGATGAATACCTGGAAGAAAAATCTACCCCTTAAAACTCATCTTGCGTAAATTCAATTCCAACTGCTGCTACTAACGGAAAACAGCCTCGATCGTCTTCCTTCCCAGAGACTTCCATATTTTGAAGGTTTGGGGCGTTACGGGGCTCTCATATGGTAAATTTATTATTTATATGAGTCCTTCACTCCTGCTCTTATTCAGATCAAACAGACGTGCTCCCTAATAACCTACAAAGGTTTCTTCTCTTTTCAACGGAATATGACTTACCAAACTTCAATAACCGACAACCACAGCCGGAGTAAGGCCACCCAGAGCTAAACGGGACAAGAGGACATGGGGCCATAAGCGCCGGAGTGTCGAGAAGGACGGAGATGCTATTTTTTTTCCCTGTGGAGAAAGGACCCAAGGCTGCTCTGGAAGATTGTGAAATCGGGATCAACGCGGATGGAGAGTAGGCCGTGCCGACCCGCCTCCTCCCGGAACTGCCGCCGGGACACCGGCGGGCCGAGCCGGTCCAGGCTCTCGGAGGAGGGGCCGCCGCCCGGCAGCGCCGGCGGGAAGCCAGGGCGGCCAGGTCAGCCCTCGAGGCCAGCGTCCTTTGACTTCAAGCCTCCTCTTGGGTCTCTTCCCCTCCTGCTTGACCGCACACAGCCGGGACAACAAGAAACGAAAAATTTCACCTCAGACCCCGGCCGGGGCCCACAAATAACAGGACTTCCGTCTTGCGCACGCGCAAATTCAAACGCGCACGCGCACTTCCAGTGTCCGCGTGCAGCCTAAGGGGTGGGGCCTCCGAGGTTGGGCGGGCCATAGAGGCCACTGCTTCTCAAGTCCCCGAGCCTCGGAGAGTTACACTTGTTTCTTCCCGCTGAGAGGCGCTGAGGCTCAGGTTCCGGACCCGGAAGGCGGGGCTGTGGCCCAGAATCTGCTCGGTGGTTTGCTTTCCTCAGTAGTCCATGCATCTTACATGAATGACAATTGCTTTCAAATTTGGGTGGATAATTGAATAGTCGTTTCATAGAAGGAGACAGATAATTAATGTGACAGTGCACAGTCTACAATAATCTTTAGGAATCCTCTAAGCTGTCTTGCAGCAAAAGGAAACGGAAATTTTAAAAATTTATTTTACTTTATTCTGATGTATTTACTTCTCTGCATTGGATCTTAGTGTCGGCGCACAGGCTTAGCTGCCCTGCAGCATGTGTGATATTAGTTCCCCCACCAGGGATGAACCAGCGTCCCCTGCATTGGAAGGGAGATTCTTAACCACTGGACCACCGGGGAAGTCCCCAGGAAAGGGAATTTTTAATAGCTGCTATTCAATTTGGTGTGAGGACTTGTTTCTCAGTGTTACATCATGAACTATACAATTAACCCACTAAATCTGATTTAATTGTAATTTATCCTCAAAAACTTTGTGTCTTATTTCTTTATTTTTGGCTGGGATGTTTGCAAGATCTTAATTCCTCGACCGGGGATCGAATCCCAGGCCCCCTGCAATGAAAGCACTAAACCCTAACCATTGGATCACCAGGGAATTCCCGGAAACTGTATGTCTTTAGATAACAAAGGTTTCCAGAGATAAAAAGATTTCTCTTGAGGGGAGGTTAGATCACGTGAATATAACAGTTCATCAGAGGATGAGATGGTTGTATAGCGTTACTGACTCAAAGGACTTGAGTTTGAGCAAGCTCTGGGAGATGGTGAAGGACAGGGAAGCCTGGCATGCTGCAGTCCATGGGGTCGAAAAGAGTTGGACAGGACTGAGCGACTGAACAACAACACTTAGAATCAAAGTAGAAGAATAGGGAGGTTGAAAGGCTTGGAGATTATGGTTGAGAAACTGGAAGAAGTAGGAGGGGATGTTAGTGAATATTTGTGACATCACACTTCCAGGTGTATTGTTTTGTCATACAAAAGTGAAAAGGTATTCGGAGTCAGGATGTAAAGGAATACTAGAGAAAGCTGAACAGAGACCTACTACTGTGAAGTATGCTGATTTCAGAAGTAAAGAATCCAGAATGGCAGCTGGGTTGGGGGGGGGGGGCACAGGAAATGTGGGCACATGATACAATTTATAACCCTTAATTTTTTTTTTTTACAAAATAATTCCCTGTGTCATTATTATTTTTTAAGAGGATAGGAGTGTTTCAGAGATTAGTACAAGAAATGAGTAAGCTCTTGACTATGAAATCTGCAACAGTAGGTCATAGTGCTTCTAGTTCTTCGAGATTTCTTGTTTAGTTGATAAGTCATGTCTGACTCTTTTGTGATTCCATGGACTATAGCCCACCAGGCCCTTCTGACCATGTGATTTCCCAGGCAAGAATTCTGGAATGGGTTGCCAGAACTGTGCAATTGCAGAGGCGTTATGAGGTTTATATTGATTCATATGGGTCTATAATCTTTCTTTCCCCCACATCTGTAGATGAGACGTTAGTTATTGAGAAAAGTAAATCAGAAAACTGAACTAATTAGTGAGTTGGAGAAACACGAGTGGAGCATCTTTAAGGGAAGCCAACATAAATTAGTATATTGGGACATCAGAGCCTGAGAGATTAAAAAAGGGGAAAAAAGTCTTCCAGGTGAGAATCTAATAGTGGCTCTTCACTGAGTCAAAAGTTCCCATCTGAATAGGCTAGTGGGGATGAAGAACTGAGAAAGATGTGTTGAGGATTTGGGAGAAAAGAGGAGTGGGAGAGAACATGGAAATATATGGTTGGTAAATCCCACCACTGAGAACTTTTTATTGCTCCAAGAAAGCTTCATGGAAGACTGAGAGAAATTAATGGTGGAGAATATGTCTCTAGTGTCTTAAAAAACTGGATGTTTGATGGCAACTCACAAGTAGAGTTATTTTACTCTGCTGACCCAAGGGTCATTTGTAATGTAAGTTTTAAACATTTTCATACCCTGTTGGTGTATGTGTGTGTGGCATAATATCTTGACATGCAAATAAAGTCTGGGGTGCGGGTTCCATTTTATATCTGCAGAGTGACTATGACAATAGGATAACTGGTTCTGTGGATACCAGTAAGCCTCCTTTTCCAGCTGCTCGTCTCCCCAGTGGGCTCCTGAACAAAGTAGCCACGGTGGCAGGGATGAAAGTTATGCATGGGCTCAGCAAAAACCTACTACCTCGGGACTTCTCTGATGGTCCAGTGGTTAAGCATGTGATTAAGATTCTGTCTTGCAATGAAGGCAACACAGGTTCAATCCCTGATTGAGGAACTAAGATCCCACAGGGGAATATTCAACTAAGCCACGCCCCTAGGCCTGGTCGCGTCCCAGCTCCGCCCCACAAGCCTAGTCAACCAAGCCCCGCCACGGGCCTGGTCCCGCTCCAGCGTCATCCAAAGCCAAGTCCTCGGCTGACCCCGGCTCCACGACCCAGTCGCGTCTCTCCCTGTAGGAAACTAGCACTTCTCCGCTTGCTGCTGGAAGCTGCCACCGCCCTCCCCCTTTTCCCAGCTCCCGAGACCCCGCCCCTAACGCTGTACGTGGCTCAGAAACCGGAAGCAGCAGCACGCTTCTGCGCGTGCGCGAGCGGGCGGCCTTGTCTTCTTGCATCTCTGTCTAAATCTGATGCAAATTTTCGCCTGAGTTCTGCCCAGCCGGCCCCAAGTCTGGTGCTCAGGAGGTGGAGAACTCGCCCTTGCGATCAGTGGTCAAAAGACTGCTGCTTGGGCTTCCCGCCGGGAGCTGCTTCCTGCCGCTCCCGGGGTTTCTAGCAGCCGCGGCTGGTCCCAAACTCACTGAATCAGGAACTCTGTGAGGGTCCAAGCAGTCGGGGTGAATCGGCTGCAGGCAAGAGTGGAAGAGCCATTCTCGTACTTAATCGGCCTCCAAAAGCATCCTCTGCTCTTTCCGGAAAGGAAAAGCATCCCTGACATTCGGTCACGGGGACGTGAGCCTCAACCTAGTCTCTGAGCGGGTCTGTGGATTTCGGTTTGTTTGGTGAGTGCGGGGTGACGTTTGCTTAACTCCATTCGCATCTCTCCCTTCCAGGTGCAAGAGATACGTTTTAACCTTTGATTTCTTTTTCTCGAACTGTGGGAGTTAGTTTGCTACATTATATTCAGCTATATACTAGTGAACTGATTATTTAGTATCTTTTTAACCCCCGTTTGCCAGTTGCCGCTCTGAATGTTAGTCGTTTATCCTAGAATTTTTTTGAATTTCACACCGCAAGTGTGATCATATGCCAGTTTTAGCGTTTTCTTTTTTATTCCTCGTACCTTATATTTTTGTTTATTTAGTGTATTTGCCAGGACTTTCAGTTCAATGTAGAAAGCATATAAATTGCATCCTTGCCTTGTTCCTGATCCCAAAGGGAATTCTGTCATTTCATTATTAAATAGGATGTTTGCTATAGGTGTTTGTAGATTATATATATATATATATATATATATATATATATTCTAATTAAAGCCTATTTCCTTCTAGTCCTAGTGGGTTAAATTATTATCATCAATGGATATTGATAGAAATCATTCACTATTTTGTATTGAAGGGGATGAGTCATATGATCTTTTTCTATTGATGTGAATTATATTTATCGTTTTAACTATATAAATCATTTTAACCACCCATCAGTCCTAGGAGAAATGAACTTAGTTTGTGATTACTATCTTCACTATTCATTCCTGGACTGTACTTAATATTTTAATATTTTGCCCTTGTGTATACGAATGACATCTTTCATATGTGTGTGTGTACATGTACATAAATACACACATATTTGAGTTTTGAGTCCCTTTCTCATCTTGGAAATACACAGGAAAACACCCCCTCAACAACAAAGAAATGGAATTATGAATCCTTTACTTATTTGGTGAATCTGTAAAAGTCTGTAGCTTCTGTTTCCTTTGTAGATATGTTCTAAACAGCTTTTTTTTTTTTCCTTTAATGACTGGATGTAAACAGGTTTTGTATTTATAGTTTTGTTAACTTTTTTCACTTTAATTTTTTAAAATTGAAGTATAGTTGATTTACAATGTTGTGTTAATTTCTGCTCTGTAGCAAAATGACTTATACATGTATATACATTATTTTTTCATATAACATATTCTTTTTCATTATAGTCTATCCTAGGATATTGAATATAATTCCTTTTGCAATGCAATAGGACTTTGTTGTTTATCCATTCTATAGTTTGCATCTACTAATTCCAGACTCCTAGTCCATCCCTGTCCTTTGGTAGCCACAAATCTGTTCTCTATATCTGTTGAGTCTTTTTCCATTTTGTAGATTGGGTTGTTTGTGCCACATTTTAGATTCCGCATATAAATGATATCATATGGTATTTGTCTTTCACTTTCTAACTTGCTTCACTTAGTGTGAAAATTTCTGGCTATACCCGTGTTGCTGCAAATAGCATTATTCCTTTCTTTTTTTAAAAAAATGGCTGAGTAGTGTTCCATTTTCTATATGTACCACATCTTCTTTATCCATTCCTCGGATATTTAGGTTGTTTACCTGACTTCACTGTTGTGAATAGTGCTGCTTTGAACATAGGGATGCATGTATCTTTTTGAATTGCTTTATTTCAGATATATGCCCAGGAGTGGGGTTTTTGGATATACGGTAGTTCTGTGTTTAGTTTTTTAAGGAACCTTACATGGTTGTACCAATGTACAATGGTTGTACCAATTTACATTCCTACCAACAGTGTAGGAGGGTTCCCTTTTTCCCATGGGAGAGAGTATGTTCTAATTTCTTTGATTTACATGCAGCTGTCCAGCTTTCCCAGCACCACTTGCTGAAGAGATTGTCTTTTTCCCATTGTATATTCTTGCCTCCTTTGTTGATGATTAATTGACCATAGGCATATGGATTTGTTTCTGGGCTCTCTGTTCTGTTCCGTTGATCTGTATGTTTGTTTTGTTTTTTTTGTGTGTGTGCAAATACCACACTGTTTTGAATACTGTAGTTTTGTAGTATTGTCTGAAGCCTGGGACGCTTATGCCTTTTGCTTTGTTCTTCTTCCTCAGGATTGCTTTGGCAATTCTGAGTCTTTTATGATTTCATATAAATTTTAATATTATTTGTTCTAGTTCTGTGAAAAATGTCATGGGTAATTTGATAGGGATAGCAATAAATCTGTAGGTTGCTTTGGGTAGTATTGCCATTTTAGCTTTTCTGATTCTAAGTTTTTAAAAATATCACTGGTGGTGGTTTAGTCACTAAGTAGTGTCTGACACTTGTGACCCCTTGGACTGTAGCCTGCCAGGCTCCTCTGTCCATGGGATTCTCCAGGCAAGAGTACTGGAGTGGGTCTCCATTTCCTTCTCCAAAAAATATCATTAATTTTGTCATATATATGTGTATATATATATATATATTTTTTTTTTTTTTACACCTTTATGAGGTTGTTTTTCTGCCATTATACGTCAATGGTTAACCTATCATTACTGATTTTTCTTCTATAGGAATTGATGATGTTTATAAATACAATTAACCCTTGAATAACATGGGTTTGAAATGCATGTGTCCACTTATATACAGATTTCTTTCCCCCCTACTATTAAATACTGCAAATACTACAGGATGGGCCATTGGTTGAATCCTTGGACACTGAGGGCTGACTATGAGTTAAACTCAGATTTTCCACTGCCGGAGGGTTGGTACCCCAACCCCTGCAATTGTTTGAGGGTCAGTTGTGCATAAATATATGTGCCACACCAGCTGTTGATTTCTTGTGTTATTTGAAACAGTTGTTCTATTTATTTATTCTTAAAAAATTATTTTTAGCTGCACTGGGTCTCCATTGCCAAGCGTGGGTTTCCTTTAGTTGTAGCGAGTGGGGGCTACTCTTCTTTGCAGTTTGTGGGCTTCTCATGGTGGTGGCTTCTCATTGCAGAGCACAGACTCTAGGTGTGCGGGCTTCAGCAGTTGCCACTTGTGAGCTGAGTATTTGCAGCGTGAGGGCCCTAGAGTGCTGGCTCAGTAGTTGCGGTGCACAGCTTGGTTGCCCTGTGGCATGTAAAATCTTTTTGGACCAGGGATCAAACCCCTGGCCCCTGCAGATTCTTAACCACTGGGCCACCAGGGAAGTCCTAAAGCAGTTGTTTTAATTTCCTGCTTCTACCCTGTCACATAAGTGGTCCTGACTTGCTAAAGATAAATGTGTGTGTATCTCCTTATCCCTATAATGTGATATATTTTTATATAGCATATACCATCACCTGATAATATTTTGTTAATTTACTGGTCCTCCTTAAAATAATTTTAAGACCCAAGCACTTTAGGATTTTTCTGTTTTGTTCAGTGCTGTGTCTCCTCTGCACATAGTTGGACAGGGCAAATATTACCTAAATAAACATGAGATGAAGGAGAAGGAGGTAGAGAACTTAAGGGAGCATCCTTGTTGAAGACATAGGGCTTAGTCCAGAGAAGGAGCTCAAGGGCAGGAATAGAGATGCAAATGTAGAGAATGGACTTGTGGACACAGTGGAGGAAGGAGACGGTGGGATGAATTGCGAGAGTAGCATTGACATATGTATGCTACCATGTGGACAATGGATAGTAGAAAGCTGCTGTGTAGCACGGGGAGTCAGCTTGCTGCTGTGTTACAACCTATAGGGGTGGGCTGGACATGGGTGGGAGGGAGACTCAAGAGGGAGGGAATATATGTAATTTATAGCTGATTCGCTTTGTTGTATAGAAGAAACCAACATAACATTGTAAAGCATTTGTTGTTCAGTCACTAGTGAAAGTCACTCAGCCGTGTCCAACTCTTTGCGACCCCATGGACTATACAGTCCATGAAATTCTCCAGGCCAGAATACTGGAGTGGGTAGCTGTTTCCTTCTCCAGGGCATCTTCCCAACCCAGGGACTGAACCCAGGTCTCCCCCACATTGCAGGCAGATCTTTACCAGCTGATCTACCAGGGAAGCATTCAGACACTAAGTTGTGTCCAACTCTTTGCAACCCTATGAACTGCAGCATGCCAGGCTTCCCTGTCCCTCACTATCTCCTGGAGTTTGCTCTAACTCATGTTCATTGAGTCAGTGATGCCATCCAGTTGACATCCATCTCCTGTCATCCCGTTCTCCTCTTGCCCTCAATCTTTCTCAGCCTCAGAGTGTTTTCTAATGAGTTGGTTCTTTGCATCAGATGGCCAAAGTATTGAAGGTTCAGCATCAATCCTTCCAGTGAGTATTCAGGGTTGATTTCCTTCAGGATTGACTGGTTTGATCTCCTTCCTGTCCAAGGGACTCTGAAAAGTTTACCCTCCAATTAAAAATAAATTAATAAAAAAAGAGAAGGAGCTCAAAGATGAAACAGTTGAAGGGAATACTTCATTTATTTACTCTTCATAGTGTGCCCGACAGCATTCTAGGCTAGAGCCCAGTAATGTTAGGGCATAGGGGCCTCACTGACAACTAAATTATAAGGTATATATTCAGAAGCACACTCTTTGGGCATTTAGCTTTGAAGGTAAATACACCTGGATACACACCCTCCCTCAGCAGCTTTCTATTTGAATAACACTGAGCACACGTCTATGTGACTAAGTTTCTGTTGGCTCTACAATACATATTTGGTCCACTGAAGTGAAAGAGACTGCTGTGTTTGCATTATTTGAAATTCATGCACTAGTACTGTGGATGCCACTGTCAGAGATGACACATATGCCAACTTCACTTCAGGTATTCTTGTTCAGCTATGGCTATACCTCCTATACAGGCAGAATTTAACATGAGATGTCTTCTCTGCCACCTGCATGTGAAATTCAGTCAGTTGTGCTGTTTCTCAAAAACCAGATTTTGGAGACCCTGCAGTCCTAGGAGGGGGAGGATCTCATAGTCAGAGATTGAGTAGTAATACATGTTGGCTTGCCAGGCAGTGCAGAAATAAATACTGGGTGTGAAACCCCTGGAGATCTGGCATACAAGTCACACTTTCCTTTGAGATGGAGTGTATATTTTTACTACTAAAGGCATTCTCTTATATTTTTAATGTTTTCGTTATCATGGGCAGATTGACAGCTAAATTTTTTTAGACTCCAGCTGACTCACTTACAAAATGGACTCTTAAATCTTTTTTTTTTTTTTTTAATGATCTACAAGAGTGAGAGGACTGTTTCTAGCTCTCGAGGAGATAAAATTGCTCCAATTAAAGAAAAAAACTATGCATGAGACAAATGCTCGGGGCTGGTGCACTGGGATGACCCAGAGGGATGGGATGGGGAGGGAGGTGGGAGGGGAGTTCAGGATGGGGAACACATGTAAATCCATGGCTGATTCATGTCAATGTATGGCAAAAACCACTACAATATTGTAAAGTAATTAGCCTCCAACTAATAAAAGTAAACGGAAAAAAAAATAAAAGAATGTTAAAAACTGCAAAAAAAAAAGAAAAAATCTTTTTATTTTGTATTGGGGTGTAGCTAATTAACAATGTTGTGATAGTTTCAGGTGAGCAAGGAAGGCACTCAGTCATACATATACATACATCCATTCTTCCCTAAACTCCCCTCACATCCAGGCCTCCACATAACATTGAACAGAGTTCCGTGTGTTACACAGTAGGTCATTGTTGGTTATCCACTTTAAATATAGCAGTGTGTACATGTCCATTCCAAACTCCCTAACTGTCCCTTTCCCCTATCCTTCCCTCTGGCGACCATAAGCTCCTTCTCTATGTCTGTGAGTCTCTTTCTGTTTTGTAAGTTACTATTTTTTTTTCTTGCTCCATTTTTTCACAAGATCAATGTGTATTTGCTTGGGTGTGCAGGGGCTTTGCGTGTGTGTGTGTTTTTTTTGAGGAGAATGATCACTCATAACAGATGTGCTGCCGAATCCACAGTCTTGATTGTGAAGACTGTGGGGATACCCAGATTCTCATGTCTTCTTTCTCCTGTCTCAGCTGTAACATCTCAATACTTTTTCTTTCTTCATGAAGGGAATATGGAGGAAGAGAGAAGAGCTGCTGAGTTACAGAAAAATGTGATACAGGTAAGTAAGAGCTAATAATTCTCCAAAAGAATGTTTCAATTCCATCAGGTTATCTATGTCCTAAATTTAGAGCAGAGATCAACAACCTTTTCCTACATTGGGTCACATAGTAAGCATTTTAGACCATAGTTTCTATTTTACTCAGTTCTGCCATTTTATTGTTTTTTGTTTATTTGTTTTGGGCAGCTTGTAGGATCTTATTTCCCTGACCAGGGATTGAACCTGTGCCCTCAGCAGTGAAAGCATGGAGTCTTAACCACTGGACTGCCAGGGATTTCCCATCAGTTCTGCCATTTTAGTGTGAAAGCAGCCATATACAGTGTATTAACAAATGTTTTATTGTATCCCAGTAAAAGTTTATGTATATAAACAAGTGATAGACTGATTTTAGATCATGTTCTATAATTTACAGCTCCTGAGCCTAGAGTGTAAGAAAATATGACTGACTGTGGGCCTGGGTTGAATGTTGTGCTTCTTGCTGACTTCTGGGCCCCAGGTATATGGGGGGAAAAAAGAAAAGGTCCTTGTCCCTTGGGGATTTAAGCTTCATCCAAATTTTATCTAGTGTTTTGTGTTGTGCTGATTGCTATGGTGGGGAATAAGGAAGCAGGTGAACTTGTTTCTGTAACAAGGAATTTTTTTTTAATGGTTTTTTTTGTTACAGTAGTTTTTCTGTTTTACAGTAGAATGTTTTGTTATGGTTGTTTTTTCTGTTTTCTGTTTTGGTTTTTTGGCCTCAAGGCATTTGGGATCGTAGCCGCTCAACCAAGGATTGAACCCACATCCCCTGCATTGGAAGATACAGTCTTAAGCCCTGAACCTCCAGGGAAGTCCCTCTAACAAGGGATTTTTGCTTCTTTCAATGTGGAAATTGTTATTTCATTTTTAGAGCATTTCTCTCATATCTGCAATATGCTCTGGATGTTCTTGATTATTGTAAGAGTAGAATTAGTCACCATCAAACAGTGGAAAGATAAATTTAGTGTTTCAAAAATGTTGTTAAACCTATGAAACAGAATTTGATCAGTCAGGATGCTTAGATAGAAAAAGAAAGATCTGATGACTGAATCCTAGGGTAGATATTTGCGAGAAAAGAGCCTTCTGAATCTCCTGTGAGTTGATTCTCAGTTCTCCACTAGTGTCAGCCTCATTCACCCTCTTGCACATGCTGGGGGGGTTGGTACCTTTCTGAACCAAGTATATGGAATGCTTTAGGACACAGTGGTCTTCGAGGATGTGGCTGTGGACTTTACCCAAGAGGAGTGGGCTCTGCTGAATCTCGCTCAGAGAAACCTCTACAGAGATGTGATGCTGGAAAACTTCCGGAACCTGGCCTCATTAGGTAAGAATGGCAACATTCTTCCAACATTCTGTTATTTAGAAAACAGCTTTTTCTTATAAATTGCCCTTGTTCTAGGATTTGGGTTGAAAAACTGGAATAAATTGTTAAATAAGACAGACATGGTCACTGACACCAAGTAGCTTATGGTCTAGTGGCTTCACCATGAAAATAAACATGTGTATTGTTAAAATAGTTCACCAATATAAAACAAGCAAAAGAATTAGTGAAAATTTCCTTACCCATTTTGCCACTGGCACTGAATACAGAGTTTTCATTTTCTCAGGGTTGTAAAGTTTTCATTTTCTCTCAGGGTACTGAAAGCTTTATTTTTCTTCATTCAGTCATTCTTTCATTCTTTTTTTTTCCCATTTATTTTTATTTGTTGGAGGCTAATTACTTTACAATATTGTAGTGGTTTTTCATTCTTTCATTCTGTAAACATTTTTTTTTTGAGGATGAACTTGTATCAAACCCTTTTGAATATGTACTATAGATGATAAGATGTCATTGTATTCAAAATGCTTCAGTAATGGAGAAGATAAATATGAAATTAACATGAAGAAAAGAAAGAAAATAAACATATATATTGAACCTGCTTTTCCTTTTTCTTGTGGTCAGAATCCTCAAGGAGGCTTATTTAGTGAGTATAGTGTGGGCACAGACTTCAGGGGTCACTTTGGGGGACAGGGAGAAAATTGGTGGTTTGGGACCTTTTGAGAATTTTACTGCTGTTAATTCCCTGTACCCGAAGACCACCAGTTTAACAAGTTGGATTTATTCCTTGGAGCAGTGAGGGAGAAGCACATGTCATGGGGAACAATGCAGTGTATTAGAAAGTAAATATTATAGGATTTAATACTTAGGTCGAATAATTTGGGGGTAGGTCCATGAAAACAAGCTGTTCCGTTTTCCTAGGCCTTCCATAACAAAGTGCCACAAACTGGGTAGCTAAGAACAACAGAAGCTTATTCTTTTACTTTTTAAAAAACTTCCTCCACCTCTACTCCCCAGTCTTATTCTATAGCTAGACAACTATTTTATTTATCTAGGCTGTGCTGGGTTTTCCTTGCTGCACTTGGGCTTTCTCTAGTTGCAGTGAGTGAGGCTACTCTTTGTTGGGGTGCATGGGCTTCTCACAGTGGTAGCTTCTCTTTGTCGGGGAGCCCAGGCTTTAGGTGCGAGGGCCTCAGTGGTTGTGATGCATGGGCTTAATTGCTCCATGGCATGTGGAATCTTCCTGCACCAGGGATTGAACATGTGTCTCCTGCCTTGGCAGCCGTCTTCTGTACCACCTGTACCACCAGGGAAGTGTGAAATTTACTCTTCTAAATTTCAGGAGATTGGCAGTGTGAAATCAAGGTGTCATGGTCCTTCTGAAGGCTCAGGAAAAATCCCTCCTTGTCTCTTCTTAGCCTTTGGTTGTTGCTGGCAGTCCTTGGTTGGTAGCCACATCATTCTAATCTCTGCCTCTATCTTCACAGGGCCTTTGTCCTTTGTCTCTACATTTTTCTGTCCTTGTAAGGACCCCAGTAATTGCATTTAGGGCCTACCCCAATCGAGTATAACTTTATGTTAACTTGATTACATCTGCAAATATCTATTTCTAAATAAAGTAATGTTCTGAATTCTGGGTGGACATGGATTTTTTTTTTGCCCCCCAGTATACTTTATTTTTGTTAGAGCAGTTCATAGGCTCACAGCAAAATTAACTGGCAGGTACAAAGATTGCCCATAAATGCACTGCTTTCTACCAAAGTGGTATATTTATTACAGTTGATGAACCTATATTGACACATCATTATCACGGTAAATCTCAAGTTTATATTAGTGTTCACTTTTGTTGTATCTTGTTACAGTTTAGACAAATATGTGATGACATTTCCACCATTATGGGCTTCCCTGGTGGCTCAGTAGTAAAGAACCCTCCTGACAATGCAGCAGATGTGCAGTTTGGATCGCTGGGTTGAGAAGATCCTCCTCTGGAGTAAGAAATGGCAATCCACTCTAGGATTCTTGCCTGGGAAATCCCATAAACAGAGGAGTCTGGCGGGCTATGTCCGTGGGGTCATGAAAGAGTAGGACACAACTGATTGACTAAACAACAACAGGCATCCACCATTATAGTATCATAGAGTAATTTCACTACTCCTAAAAATTCTTTATCCCCCTCCACCCCAATTTTTCTCTCCTTCCCTCCCAACTCCTGGCAGCCACTCATCTTTTTGCTGTTCTCATAGTTTTGCCTTTTCCAGAATGTCATGTAGTTGGAATCATACAGTATATAGCCTTTTCAGATTGACAATTTTCACTTACTAATATGCATTTAATGCTCTTCCATCTCTTCATGGCTTGATGGCTGATTTCTTTTTAGTGCTGAGTAATATTTTGTCTGGATGTACAATACCAGTCTGTTTATCCATTCACTCATTGAAGAACACGATTGCTTCCACCTTTTGGCAATTATGATTAAAACTGCTATAAACATCCACATGAAGGTTTTGTGTAGATGTGTTTTTAACTCCTTTTGGTAACTTCCAGAGAGCATGATTGCTTGCTTATATGGCTAAGAATATGTTTAATTTGGTAAGAATCTGCCAAATTGTATTCCAAAGTAGCTGTACCATTTTTCATTCCCACCAGCTCCATATCCTCACCAGGACTTGGCCATTCTTTTAGGTATGTAGTGGTGTCTCATTGTTTTGATTTGCATTTTCCTGATGACAGGTAATGTGGAACATCTTTTTTTTCATATGATTATTTGCTATCTATGTATCTTCTTCATAAGGCATCTGTTAAAGTCTTAGGCCCATTAAAAAAAAACTTAACAAAATGTTTATTGAACTGTAGTTGGTTTACAGTGTTGTGTTTAATTTTTGTTGTATAGCAAAATGACTCAGTTATACTTATATATACATGTTCTTCATATTCTTTTGGAGAAGGAAATGGCAACCCACTCCAGTATTCTTGCCTGAAGAATTCCATGAACAGAGGAACCTGGCAGTATATAGTCCATGGGATTGCAAAGAGTCAGACACAACTGAGTGACTAACACTTTTCACTTTCTTTTCCACTATGATTTATCACAGGATATTAAATATATTTCCCTGTGCTATACAGTAGGATCTTGTTTATTTATTCTATATATAATAGTTTGCATCTGCTAATCCCAGACTCCCAATCCACTCCTTGCCCTTGACACCCACGAGTCTGTTCTTGACACCCACGAGCCTGCGAGTCTGTTTTTGTTTTGTAGGTATGTTCCACTTGTGTCGTATTTTAGATTCCACATATTAAGTGAGATCATATGGTATTTGTCTTTCTCTTTTTGACTTACTTTGCTTAGTATGATAATCCCTAGGTCCATCCATGTTGCTGCAAATGGCATTATTTATTTCTTTTTAATGACCGAGTAATATTCCACTGTATATGCATACTGCATCTTTTTTAATCCATTCATCTGTTGATGGACATTTGAGTTGTTTCCATGTCTTGGCTATTGTAATAAATAGTGCTGGTTTGAATGTTGGGGTGTATGTATCTTTTAGAATTATAATTTTGTCTGGGTATATGCACAGGAGTGGGATTGCTGGATCATATGGCAACTGTACTTTTTGTTTCTTGAGGAACCTCCATACTGTTTTCCATAGTGACTGCACAAGTTTACATTCCCACCAACAATGTAGGTGGTTGTTCAGTGCTAAGTCATATCTGACTCTTTGTGACTTCATGGACAGTAAGTAGCACACCAGGCTTCACTACCTTCACTATCTCCTGGATAGTTTAGGAGGGTTTCCTTTTCTCCATACCCTCTCCAGTGTTTGTTATTTGTAGACTTTTTAAAATTAATTAATCTTTTTATTGAAGGATAATTGCTTTACAGAATTTTATTGTTTTCTGTCAAACCTCAACATGAATCAGCCATGGGTATACATGTATCCCCTCCCTTTTGAACCTCCCTGCCATCTGCCTTCCTATCCCACCCCTCTAGGTTGATACAGAGCCCCTGTTTGAGTTTCCTGAGCCAAACAGCAAATTCCTGTTGGCTGTCTATTTTACGTATGGTAATGTAAGTTTCCATGTTACTCTTTGCATGCATATTTGTAGACTTTTAAATAATCACCATTCTGACTGGTGTGAGGTGGAACTGCACTGTTTTGATTTGCATTTTTTTAATAATTAGTGATGATGAACATATTTTCTTGTGCCTGTTGGCCATTTGTATGTCTTCTTTAAGAGAGAAATGTCTAGGTCTTCTGCCTGTTTTTCAATTTTGTTGTTGTTATTGAATTGTAGGAGCTGTTTGAGTTAAGGGGCTTAATTTTGGAAATTAAGCTCTTGTCAGTTGCATCATTTGCAGATATTTTCTCTCAGTCTGTAGGCTGTCTTTTTGCTTTGTTTGTGGTTTCTTTTGCTGTGCAAAAGCTTGTAAGTTTGACTTGGTCCCACTTGTTTATTTTTGCTCTTATTTCTCTTGCCTTGGGAGACTGGCCTAAGAAAACATTGGTATGATTTATGTCAAAGAGTATTTTGCCTGTGTTCTCTTATAGGAGTTTTATGGTGTCTTGTCTTTTAAGCCATTTTGAGTATAGTTTTGTGTATGATGTGAGGGTGTGTTGATTCCTTGATACACATGCAGCTGCCTAGTGTTCCCAACACCACTTGCTGAAGAGACTTTTTCTCCATTGTATATTCTTACTTTGGCCTATTTTTTAAAAATCAAGTTATTTTCTTATTGTTGAGTTTTAAGACTTCCGTGTATATTTTGGATAATAGTTCTTTATCACGTGTCTTTTGCAAATATTTTCTCCAAGTATGTGGCATGTCTTTTCATTTTCTTGCTAGTGTTTTACTCAGAGCAAAAATTTTTAGTTTTAATGAAGACCAGCTTATCAGTTCTTTCTTTCATGAATTGTGCTTTTCAGGTTACTTGTTGGCTTTAAAAATAATAAGTTATTTTACTGACAAAAAATGGTTTACTTGGGAAGAGCAGGGGAATTGCAATTTGAGATAAGAAAGCTATAACAAAAGCCATAGGCAAGTCCACAGAACAATGGAGAGAAATGTAATTTTGTAGAGAAAAATGAGGAAATTGGGAGAGGTTGTTTTGGATGAAAGTCCACTGCATAAAGGTGAAAGTTCAGGGTGATGATGGCTGAGTTGCTGAAGTGGTGATTTCTGATAGGAGATGTGATGTACATCTTTTCCTGTTAGGATTATAGTTGGTGATTCTTGGGGTCTCTGATGGACAGTTCTCCCTGTAATTAATGTTGTAAAGAATTAGATGAAAGCTTCCTCTTCTGGCCTCTCAACTCCATTTTAGTGACGTTTTCTTTGATTAATTTTCACATATCTAACAAATCACTAGATCTTAGGGCATCTACATTTTTTCCGTGTTATCTTTTAGGAATTCCATAGTTTTACGTTTTACATTTAGATTTGTGATCCATTTTGAGCTAATTTTTTACTCTCTATTGAGGGACCCCAAGTTGTCCCAGAGCCCTGAATGCCTCCCTGTGTATTCTGAGTTAATTTTTTGCAAGTCTATATCAAGATTTTTTTTTTAATGTACCTTGATGTCTAGTAGTTGTTTCAGCACCATTTGTTGGAAAGACTTGTTTTTTTTCTCTGTTGTATTGCCTTTGAGCCTTTGTCAAAGAAAAGTTGACTATATTTACGTGGGTCTATTTCTAGACTCTCAATTCTGTTCCATTTATCTGGTCTATTTAGATATGAATTTTTTGAGGGCCACTGTCACCCCAGTTCACAGGTGGTCATTTTAGATTGGATGCTGACAGAAAGCAGGGGAAATTCTAGTGATACTTTGTCCCTAGGCTAAATCATGAAGTTGCCTTATTTTGTTTCATTTTATCATGGTATTAGAGTAACCTTGTCTAAGATTGGTATTTGGAGATTATTTATCTTCAACAGGAGAACAAAATATCCTGCCTGTGAGTATTGGACCAGCTTCTAATAATATTGAGGTCTATGTGTGAATATCAGATCAGTTCTATTCATCAGACTGCCCCTTCCCCTCAAAAGATAAATTAGATATTTTGTTGCAGTTAAACTCACACTTGTGAAACAGTTCACCTCAGATTGGTACTTGAACCCATGTGCCAGAGCTTAAACTCAAATGCCAGGACTTGAACTTGGCCAAAATCCAGTTTGGGACTTAAACTCATGAGGCTGGAACTTCAGCCTGGCCAAAACCCATGGTCTTCCAACTGAGATCACACACCTGATTTCTGGACTTAATAAAGGTCAGATTTTTTTGTATCTCAGTGCAAAAGGAACAGCAAGAAGCAAACTGATAGGCAAAAAGTAGATTTATTAATATAGGATGCTTGTAAGAGATGTAAGTGGATAGGTGAGGGAGCCCTTCACTGAGGATTAAATGGGCTATAATTTTATTGTCAAAGGAAAGTGGGGGAGTGCCTTCTTTGAGTTGATTTCAGGCTTACATCACTAGCTCCTCTTTGTATCAAGCACCAGAATGTCTGACCCTGTGTGGTCAAACTAGAATTGTCATGTGTGCATGCGTGCTCAGTCATGCCTGACTCTTTGAGATCCCATACATTGTAGCCCACCAGACTCCCCTGTCCATGGAATTTTCCAAGTAAGAATAGTGGAGTGGGTTACCATTTTCTACTTCAGAGGATCTTCCCAGCATTGGGTTTGAACCTGCGAGTCCTACTTTGGCAGGCAGAGTTTTGACCACTGGTGCCACATTGTCATAGCACTTATTCAGATCACTAGAAGGATGGTGACATTTTTCTTTCATCTAATGACCTGGGGCATATCTTGTGCTTTTATAAGTGGCATTATAGTTAAAGAAGGCTGCTTTGTTCCACCACGGTCTAATAGCTTTTTGAGCATCATTAACTTCCATTGGTTTCTCAAAGTTCCCTAGGTTTCCCTATTTATCTATAATCCACTACTAGGACTTCTGCATAACTATCCTATCCTGTTTAACTATCCTATTCTATCCCTATCACTTGCTTTAAAGTATCAGAAGAGCAGTTTTTGCTCTGTTTCGTATAAATATTTGTGGTAACTCATTGTTTTCCCTCATGATATACCTTTCTGTGTGGACAGGGTATCCACTACACAAACCCTATCTGATCTCACAGTGGAAACAAGAGGAGGACCTAGAGACAGTGGAGAAAAGACCTATCCAGGGGGAGCATCAGGAAGGCAAGAACACTTGATGTCGTTGGGGGATATTACATTTGGAAAAAATAACATAATATCAAAATGAAGCTTTGTTTTGTCTGAGGAAGCTGAGCTTCCACAGACACCTTAGATTACTATTTTATTTGTTTTTAAAATTTTTATTTTTTACTATGCTGGATCTTTATTGCTTTGCATGGGCTTTTCTCTAGTTGCAGAGTGTGGAGACTGCCCTCTAATTGTAGTGCTTGGGCTTAGTATTTGCTGCTTGTGGGCTCGAGGTTGTGGGCTTAGTTATGGCACACTGGCTTAGTTGCTCTGTGGCATGTGGAATCTTCCCGGATCAGGGATTGAACAGGTGTCCCCTGCATTGGCAAGTGGATTCTTATCCACTGTTCCACCAGGGAAGTCCTTGATTACTATTTTGACTTTTCTTTAGTCCTCTCACCTGTTCCTTGTTCTTGGGAAAGACCACATTTCCTCTTTGTAATGTAGTATTTGGTCTTGTGTGTTTTATTCCATTTCTTTTTGTTTTGTTCTCCTAGTAGTATCTTATTTATGCTACCTTCAGTCTCCATCTTCATGGGATTATTTCCTAGTCACTTTACTATTTTGACCATGTGCTTATTAACCAAAGTCCTGAACCAGCCATACTGCCAAAGTCCTTTGCTCATGGGTGCCTTTGCTAATTTATTTCAGGTTTCAAGATTCAACTTAAAGTTAATGAATCAGTCGTTCCACAAGATACTTGTGGAGAAAAAATATCCAATGAACTGGATGTAGTGGAATTCAAAAGGAGTGATTCCTCATTGTCCATTTTACATAAAATCTGGGAATACAATGATATTGATTATCAGAACAAAAACCACGAGAGACGTTTGAGGTAAGTGCCATTCATATAAGAGAAAAGTAGTGTCTCAGGAAAGAATCTTAAAATATCACAGAATTAAAAAAAGAAAAATCTAAAACTTAGTAAAAAATTGTAATTTCATAAAGACTTTTCATAAGATATTTTTTTCACAAGTGAGACTTGAGCCCTTCCATGTTTGACACATAAATCATTGAGCAACCATCAGAAAAATCTCATAAGTCAAAAACTCAGTCATAATATTGTGTCTTAGAGCACTTGAGTACTTTCATCTTATCATTGGACAGGGCAGAAAAACACACATAGTCACTGAAAATGGTAAAAATTTACTTGCCACTAATAATGTGCTTTTTATTTTTGAAAGAAGTCATGGGGTTGAGAACATCTACAAACATAATGAAGAAAATCAGTGTGGACAAACCTTCAGCCAAATTTCACACCTTAATGTACTCAAGAGAACTACTGAAGTAAGAGCCTATGAGTGTCATGCATGTAAAAAGGCCTTCATAGATCATTTATCCCTGAAGAATCACATTAGGTCTCACACTGGTAGCAAACCCTATCAGTGTAAGGAATGTGGGAAAGCTTTCCATTTTTTTGCTTGTTTTAAGAAGCATATGAAAACTCCCACTGAAGAGAAACCCTACGAATGTAAGGAATGTACCAAAGCCTTCAGTTGTTCTTCCTTCTTTCGGGCACATATGAAGATTCATGCAGGAAAGACAAGTTGTGAATGCAGGGAATGTGGGAAAACCTTTAGCTGTTCTTCATCCCTTACAGAACACAAAAGAATTCACAGTGGAGATAAGCCTTATGAATGTAAGGAGTGTGGGAAAGCCTTTAGCTGTTCCTCCTCACTCTCCAAACACAAAAGAATTCACAGTGGAGATAAGCCATATGAGTGTAAGGAGTGTGGGAAGGCCTTCAGTTCCTCCTCTCACCTTATCATACATATAAGAATCCATACTGGAGAAAAGCCTTATGAATGTAAAGAGTGTGGGAAAGCCTTCAGTGAGTCCTCAAAACTCACTGTACACGTTAGAACACATACAGGTGAGAAACCCTATAAATGTAAGGAATGTGGGAAAGCCTACAATTGTCCTTCCTCCTTGAGCATCCATATGAGAAAACATACAGGGGAAAAACCGTATGAATGCCTTGAATGTGGGAAAGCCTTCTATCTTCCCACTTCCCTGAATACACATGTGAAAAATCAGAGTAGAGAGAAACCCTATGAATGTAAAGAATGTGGAAAAGCCTTCAGTTGCCCCTCGTCCTTTCGAGCACATGTGAGAGATCACACTGGAAAGGTGCAGTATGAATGTAAGGAATGTGGGAAAGCCTTCAGTCGTTCCTCATCCCTCACTGAACACTTAAGAACTCACAGCGGAGAAAAGCCTTATGAATGTAAGGAATGTGGGAAAGCCTTCATCAGTTCATCCCACCTGACGGTACATATAAGAACTCACACTGGAGAGAAACCTTATGAATGTAAGAAATGTGGAAAAGCCTTCATTTACCCCTCAGCCCTTAGGATCCACATGAGAACACACACTGGGGAGAAACCCTATGAATGTAAGGAATGTGGGAAAGCCTTTCGCCATTCTTCATACCTGACTGTCCATACAAGGATGCACACTGGAGAGAAACCCTTTGAATGTCTGGAATGTGGGAAATCTTTCAGTTGTCCTTCATCCTTTCGAAGACATGTAAGAAGCCACACTGGTGAGAAGCCCTATGAATGTAAGGAATGTGGGAAAGCCTTTGTTTGTCCTGCTTACTTTCGAAGACATGTGAAAACTCACACTAGAGAAAATTTATAAAGTAAGAAATGAGGGAATGTCTTTAATGCTTTTTCAAAGCTTAGGCAGCACATGAGATCTTTTTTTTCTTATGGTTTGCATTTTTTTTTCATTTATTTGTATTAGTTGGAGACTAATTACTTTACAATATTGTAGTGGTTTTTGTCATACATTGACATGAATTAGCCATGGATTTACATGTATTCCCCATCCCAATCCTCCCTCCCACCTCCCTCTCCACCTGATCCCTCTGGGTCTTCCCAGTGCATCAGGTCCGAGCACTTGCCTCATGCATCCAACCTGGGCTGGTGATCTGTTTCACCCTAGATAATATACATGTTTTGATGCTGTTCACTTGAAACATCCCACCCTCTCCTTCTCCCACAGAGTCCAAAAGTCTGTTCTATACATCTGTGTCTCTTTTTCTGTTTTGCATATAGAGTTATCATTACCATCTTTCTAAATTCCATATATATGTGTTAGTATACTGTAATGGTCTTTATCTTTCTGGCTTACTTCGCTCTGTATAATGGGCTCCAGTTTCATCCATCTCATTAGAACTGATTCAAATGAATTCTTTTTAATGGCTGAGTAATATTCCATGGTGTATATGTACCACAGCTTCCTTATCCATTCGTCTGCTGATGGGCATCTAGGTTGCTTCCATGTCCTGGCTATTATAAACAGTGCTGCGATGAACATTGGGGTGCACGTGTCTCTTTCAGATCTAGTCTTCTTGGTGTGTATGCCCAGGAGTGGGATTGCTGGGTCATATGGCAGTTCTATTTCCAGTTTTTTAAGAACTCTCCACACTATTTTCCATAGCGGCTGTACTAGTTTGTATTCCCACCAACAGTGTAAGAGGATTCCCTTTTCTCCAGACCCTCTCCAGCATTTATTGCTTGTAGACTTTTGGATAGCAGCCATCCTGACTGGCGTGTAATGGTACCTCATTGTGGTTTTGATTTGCATTTCTCTGATAATGAGTGATGTTGAGCATCTTTTCATGTGTTTGTTAGCCATCTGTATGTCTTCTTTGGAGAAATGTCTGTTTAGTTCTTTGGCCCATTTTTTGATTGGGTCGTTTATTTTTCTGGAGTTGAGCTGGAGGAGTTGCTTGTATATTTTTGAGATTAATCCTTTGTCTGTTGCTTCATTTGCTATTATTTTCTCCCAATCTGAGGGCTGTCTTTTCACCTTGCTTAGCACATGAGATCTTACACTGTGGAGACACACTATGAATGTAAGAAATTGTCACTCTTCTTTTGGAAAAACCCATAACTGAGAGAAACTCTGTGTTTGTAAATCATGTGGTAATACCTCCATGACCATCACTTATTGTGTTCTGAGAAAATTCATACTCGAAGCAAAGATCAATGCCTCATCCTTAAAGTGGGCTACTGCTGGCTCATTGATTTCCTGTTTTAATTTTCTGATATGAATGTTTAAGGTGGTAAATTTCCTCTAATACCTTTCAGCACTAGCCACATATGTTTTATTATGAGGTACTTTTATTTTGGTTCAGATGTAAATGTTATTTCTATTACAGAGTTTTCTGGACCCATTGGGCATTTAAAGTATATTTTTTTATATGTAGGTGTGAGTGATCTTTTTTTTTACTATTATTAGTTACTGATTAATTCTCATTGTTCTTTAAGTGTACAGTCATTGTGGTATCGACATTCCAGTATTTGTAGTTTCTTTTGTAAATGGTAATTTCATTTTGATCTAGTATGGCAGAAACTGGAAATTGTCTACCCACTATTTCTCCCCATCTCTCTCTCTCTCTTTTTTTTTTTTACAAAAACTATTAGTTTTTTACCATTAAAAGCTTTCCCTGTTTAATAAGTAATCCAGTGGAAATCAATAAGTGCAAAAGCCTTGATAGAAGAGTCTCATCTGTTATGGTATTTTTGTATTTTTTTCTTTATCCTTGCTTATGACTGGGAATTGGACCCAATGTTTTGAACTTTTATAAAAGAGACCTTGCAACAGGAAAGCTACAAGTAAAGTTGGTTGGGCTGGTTTATGTTGTGGTACTTTGGACGTGGCTGGGACTGCATTTCCCAGAGTCAGTTCTTTATCTAGTTCCATGTTTGAGTTGTCTAAGATAAGAGTTTGTGTGAGAATTGGAAGGCAGAGGGAAGAAACCATTATTCTGAGTTTGTGGGGCCAACGAGACAGGGAGACCGATGCATGGGGGCCTGGCTTTTCCCCTAATTATTGGACTCACTGATCTGTACTGGCTCAAAGAAGAACACAAAATGCTTGACTTTCATTGTCTCAGAGGCAGCCACTCCATAGACACCTCCATAAATTTCTCCATCATGGTCATACACAGCTTCTTGGATTTTTCTGGTAAGTTCTTGCATTGTAATTTTGCTGATATTACAGCCCCTCTGGCATATCTCTTGACTGCATAGAGTTGGCTCCAGTTTGGATCAGGGTTGTTGTCATCTACGTGGTCGAAAGTGTGCTAATATAAGTGTACAGCTTGATGAAATTTTACACTGAATACTGTGACAAACAGAACTTTCCCAGGATTTCAGAAAGTTCATTCATCTGCTTTCTCAATGATTGCTCTGGGGACTTTACTGGTGGTCCAGTGGCTAAGAATCTGCCTGCCAGTGCAGGGGGCTGGGGTTTGATTCCTGATCAGGGAACTAGATCTCACATGCCACATCTAAAGATCCTGCATACTGAAACTAAGACTTAGTACAGCCAAATAAATAAATAAAAATAAATAAATATTAAAAAATGTTGCTCCACAATTTTGGCTTTGATTATAATTTATTAAGTTTGCTTGTTGATCTTCATGTAAATGTTAAGATACAATATGTACAGTTACATGTTTGGCTTCTTTTTTCAATATAATGTCTAATTTGCCTCTTAATTTCTATTTTGGCAGACTATGAACTTATGTCTCTTGTTACGTGCTTTGAATATAAGAATGAAATTACTGAATCATAGGATAGACTTTATGTTTAGGTAGGTATTCCAGTTTTTCAAAAACAATTCTACTTATAATCATAATCCTAAAAGCAATGAATCAAGGTCCTAACTGTTCCACATGCCTGATTAGCACTTTCTAATTTTAGCTGTTCAACACAGAATGTACTATTATCTTGTTTCTGGTTTTAATTTGTATTTACCTGATATGTAACAATGGTGAATACTTTTTTATATGCTTATTGATTATTTGGATACTTTTTTTTTGTTTTTATTTTTATTTTTTTGGCTGTGTGACTTGCGGGTTCTTAGTTCCCTGACCAGAGATTGAACCTGGGCCATGATGGTGAAAACCTGGAATCCTAACCACTAGGCAGTCAGGCAGTTCCCTGGATATCTTCTTTCTGGGGGATACCTGTTGAAGCATTTCACCCATTTTTGGTTCCTTTTCTATTTGAAAGTTTTCCTATGGTTGTGTGTGTGTGTGTGCTCAGTTGATCTGTCATGTCCAACTCTTTGTAACCCCAGGGACTGTAGCCCTCTAGTCCCCTCTGTCCATGGAATTCTCCAGGCAAGAATACTGGAGTGGGTAGCTGTTCCCTTCTCCAGGGGATCTTACTGACCAGAGATAAACCCCAGGTCTCCTGCCTTGCAGGTGAATTCTTTGCTGTCTGAGCTACCAGGGAAGTCAGGTAAGCCCTGACTATAGTTAGATCTTGAGAATTTATTCATTTTCTATCTGGGAGTTTGCATCCTTTGATCAATATCTCCCCATTTTCCCCACCCCTGGTCCCTGGAGAAACTGGTTGCATGAAATCAAGATTAAATTGTGTAGAGTCCACAGAGATAAGAAAAGAGATCTATACCTGTGCCACTGAATGTAGAAGCATGTGAGAATACATAGCTGAGATCTAAAAATATAGAAAATTGTAATTTTTATTGGCCCCATTTTAAAACTAAGAAACTGACATTTGAATAGGCTGGGTAACAAAGTTTTTAGAAACAGTAGGTATTAATAGTTCAGCTACAATTCATACTTAGGATTACAAGTTGATTCAAAAGAAGAAATATGGACTTCACTTTCATGAGAGGACTATAAAAGAATTTGGGGCCATGTCTTAAAACTGTCACTTTTGTGCATGATCAGTCACTCAGTCATGTCCAACTCTTTGTGACCCCATGGACTGTAGCCCACCAGGCTCCTCTGTCCATGGGATTTCCCAGGCAAGAATACTGAAGTGGGTTGCCATTTCCTTCTTCAGGGGGTCTTCTGTCCCAGGGATTGAACCCACATCTCCTGTGTCTCCTGCATTGGCAGGAGGAGTCTTTTGCACTGCACCACCTGGGAAGCCCTTCCTCTGGTTACTTATCCTTTTAAAATGTATGTATATGTCTCTATCTAGTTACATACATATACATAAAACATCTATTATGTGTATATATATATATATATATATATATATATATAATTATGTATACTATATACCTGTATTGCAGATAGTTTTCCCCAGTCTCTGGCTTGTCTTCATTCTTTTCATTTTTGTAAACTATAAAAAGAATTAAATAGTTTGATTACAGGAAAATCCTAGGGTATAACTAATTGCAGAGATGGCTGGATCCTGGAGCTAAAAAGATGTTAGCTGGATGAATTCTGTCTCCATTCCTTGACTGTGCATCTTTCTGCATTAATTATTCTTCCAGGTGGGCTCTTTCTCTCCACAGTGGCCCTCAGAAGATCCAAGCTGCTTTCTTTCCAGGTTGACGTGTCAGGGAGAAGAGAGTGGTTATCATTGTGACCGATTCCAATATGCCTGTTACAGTTCAATCTGATTGGCTTATTTGCCAACTGTTATCTCATTGTGGCCAGAGGAGTATGATTCTTTGGTTGGTTTAGGACTGGCTTCTCACTGAATCTTGTTGTTCAGTTGCTAAGTTGTCAGAATCTTTGTGACCCAATGGACTGAAGCACACCAGGCTTCCCTGTCCTTCACTGTCTCCCAGAGTTTGCTCAAACTCATGTCCATTGAGTTGTGATGCCATCCAACCATCTCATTCTCTGTCACCCCCTTCTC